ATATATATATAGTCACAAATAAATGTTTGGATCATTTATCAAAAGCACAAACATTCAAAAACAAGTCTTTTCAGGCAAGTAAGAAAAATAAATGATTTTTGCAATGAAAAACCTTGTGTAAATGGAGTCGAAGATGTTGCGCAATCTTGTCAGGACGAGTTTTGACCTGTCAGGGACGCTGTAGCTGCCGACGCACTCTCCCTTACTGCATTATCCTTCCGCTCGGAAATACAGTCCCAAACAATTTTAACATATTACTAGTTTACGAACAATAATTTGCATGTGCTAAATGTGATATAAATTGTAGTGAGCTATACGTATTAATTTTGTCAAATGAGAGCATCTGTAATGTAATCGCACTTTGGAAATATAAGTGAAGATAGTCCCGGCGCATATAAAATCTGTTGGCGTCGCCATCAGCGATCTTTTCAGTCGCATGCTGAAGTTGTGYACGGATCATGTCTAGCGATTCTGCTGATTACAACAGGTAAAGGGCATTTGGTCTATTTCTGATACAGTATTGTGGTTCCGGTCGTACTTAAGCGGTCGAGACGGTTCGGGAAGTCACATAGCAACAAATTAGTTGTTAGCTAGGGCCTCAACTCTGCTCCTGTCGTGGTGATTTGGGATGTTAGCAATTTAGCTGCTCGGGCACCACTGCATTTCCAAAAGACCGTTAAGGAGGCAATTTGTACTGAATGCACARATTTACCATGACTTAAGTTCTGCCTAAAAAGTTAGCGCTTAAAATTAGCTTGCTTGGATGGGGGTTTCCGAGGAACAGTCAGCCCGAAACGCATCTCGGCCTAGTTTTCGGTACCATCCCCCGTTGGCTGAACTACAGGCCCAGTTATCCGACATATTGGCCAACGGTGAGGAACTCCATGTTGAGGTGTGCCCAATGAGACGGGTTTGCGGGAATCAATACTCCAGGCCATATGGGCTTACATAAGCGGGTTCCTTTTTTCGGAGGGCCAGTTGTCGAGCCGGCTCGTGGAATTCGACACGTGCGCCCACCGACTCGAGACTCCGTGCGGTGAAACACGACACTTTCTGGGCGTCACCGGACCCTCAACTGTACCCATCCCTCTCTTCACCCGGTCCGTTCTGTGCCCGACCCAGTCTGCACCTTGCCCAATTTGTACCCGGTCCTGTATGGACCCGACCCCACTGAAGTCCTGTTGTTTCAGGTTCGTTCAATATATGTTCAGAGTCGAACTTGGCCATTTTGTACCCAACTCGTACCTTTTGGTACCATCACGCACCTCCATATAACCTCAAGATATGTTTGTTGGACGTCAAACAGAAGCAGTCTTAACATAAACAATTTAGAACAAGGTTCATGTTCATTTTTTCTCAATTGTAAGAGAATAAAATGATAGTTGAATTCTGTATCTGGGTTATAATAGATGGTACYCTGTTTTTTAATTGTCAAGGATGGAGAGACAGTGTCTTGGAGTTTCATTGAGCAATGTGGAAAGTGGTCATCAGTCTTAAAATTTGGCATAGTTTAACATTTGCCATGCTACTTGAAATTTGTGTTCCTTGAGCATTCAGCCAGTAAAAGGTTTTTCTCTAACAATATTAACCAGTTAAACTTTTAAGCAGCTRCTTGGTAGGAAAATCACAAGTTCAGTGGTTGGAAGCAAATGAATCATCAGTGAGTAACATACCCGCTCTAAATTAATCACAATATGTCTGAAAATGGTCWTAAATGTGCTACAGTCAGGATTCAGTCTGACTATTAATTTTAGTTTTCTCTCAGTTCTGGATAAGTGTGACTAAAAAGAGGGAAAAAATTCTAGTTTTTTTTAAATTAGCCTTGTGTTAATGTAAATAAGGTTTAAACTAGGGTAGGGCAATAAATCGGTTAATTTGAATTTGCCATTTCAGGGCTCTAAACTAACTTTTTGCACTGGTGAGCACCAGCACAAAAGTTAGGTGCACCCAAATTTTCAACCACGCTGCATTTAACATCAGCGTTTTACAGGTAATTGTTTTAATCACTGTGCATTAAGGCAAGGTTAACTCAAAAATAATTAGTTAACAATCTAGTAAACATGGAAGTTCTTTATTTGAACCAGAATTGTAGACATTTAACTTACTGAAAAGTATTTAAAGCGATTCTATAAAATCCCAAGTGCAAATGTTTAAGGGCTGAACATCTTACAAACATCTTAATGGTTAATTTTTTTAGACGCATGCCTCTTAGATGGACAACTCCTGTTGTTTGGTCCTGTGGATTAACTAAAATGGTGAACAGAGAATATTGATTTAATAACGGAAATACTGATAATTATTAAAAGGTTGTGCAGAATTTTTAAAAATAACACATAAAAGTCTGCAATTTCATTAGCATTAGTTGAATCTTATCATCTTGTATTATTTCACTTAAATATCTAATGTCTAGTTTTATCCTCCTGAGACCCAGAAGAACCAATTTCAGATACTTGGAATGTAACTGTGGTGAAACTGATTAAGTGTAACAGTGGATTGCCATACATGTGAGCTTCCTCATGCTGCTGAAATGATCTGCTGCACTCACAGGGTAGACCCTAGAGATCGACCGATACAGGTTTTTGAAGGCCGATACCCGTTTTTTAAACATCACTCTAACCGATACGCCGATACTACCTTTTCTTCCTCCATTAACATGATAAAAATAAGAATAACAAATGTTGCACAGGTCTCAATTTAAAACAAAGCAAACAAAAACAAACCAAAAAAACCATTTATTAAATAAGCCTGTCTGATGCAGGCTGTATTAAGTGCTACCACACAGGATT